CCAAGCCAGGCAGGGCGCCCAAGCAGAAGGTTTCCAACCTGCGGTGATGGGAGGAGGCCTTTGCCTTCTATGAAACCTCCTCATCGAGACCAGGAAAGCGGCCCTTCCTCATTTGCAGGCCCACCTTGTTGGGCAGGTTTCGCCGCCTTTAATCCGTGGTTTGTGGCGTTTCAGCTGCTGGAAGAAAATGACCAGCTGATCCGGTGTATTGTGGAATACCAGAATAAAGGCAGGGCTGCGGAATGCATGCAGTAAGTATGAAGTCTCTCTCTCTCTCCTTTCTCCCACCCTCCCTCCCACTTATGCCTCTTCCAGTTTCATATAGGCTTGGTCAATAAAGGTCCCCTGGATCTGCTCTGAATGGATCCATCTTCTGTCGCCCAAATGGGCCTTGCCGGTACTAGGCCTGGGCTCCGCAGCACAGGAGGTGCATTGAAGTCAGCAGCATTATCGGTAAGGTAAACGCAGTTGGGGTTTACTAGTTTAGCTCCTCTGGACTGCAGTGATGTCTTAAGGATTATCCCTCTGCACTAAATACGTGCCTGGTCCCAACAGTGCTATTTCCTTCACCTCCGTCCTTGTTATAGTTGTTTTCTCTGAATATTGACAACTTAACTGGTTGGTGTTCATTTCTTAAGAAACAAAGGGGTGTCATTGCAAGAAGGGTCAAGATAAGAAGCTTCCACTTAGAAAATCCTCCTGACTTCTTATCATGCAACAACAGCTGCCCGCTTCCAAAGTGCTGAACGAACAGGACTTGCAATTTAAATGCCACATCTCTCTTGGTTGCCTAGTGCAGTTCTGCGCTCCGAGTTGCCGCTTGCTTCGAGGGATTTTCAGCAACTTACGTACACAGTTTTTCGCCTTCTTCCTGACAGGCACCAGCACACGCTGCACAGGAATCTCATCTACTTAGCTACGATCGCTGACGCGGCCGCTTCCCTGACCACAGAGAAAACTGCTGTAGACTAATTTGGCGCTCTTGGCAACATGAGTGTCTCTTTGAAAGGGGCCAGGAGTCCCTGCGGAGAGCTTCCGGGCTGCTAAAAGTGCCTTGGACAGAAAACCCGGCAAATGGTGCTCTTTTTAAAGAGGCGAGGTTTCCATTCTTCCTTGGATCAGCTAGTAAATAGCCATTTAGCAACACCTCTGATGTGAAAACAACAAAAGCAACCCTGCTTATGTCATTGTATTACTGCACTCTGTCTAAGTGATACTTACGAGGTAGAGGGGTCTTTGTGTCGTAATAAGGTAACTGTGAAGCTGTTTGAAAAGATGATACTGTCTGAAATTCAGCTCAAAGGCTGCTTCACCAGAGACACTAAGAGAAGAAATTATACCAGACTGGTTAAGTGCAGTGACTTGTTGATACTTTCAACAGAACTTGGACACCTTTAGTTTACTCTGCATGATTCTAATACAATGTCTAATACTCTGTATGATGCTAAACGATGTTTGTTTCCTGTTTTTTCATGTTTTATCTGTACTTCATTATTGCCGGTAGAGGGCAGTGCTAAACTTTTATGACAGAATCTTCTTTCCCTCCTTATAAAAACCAGTGTTCCTGTCACAAGCATACAACTGGGAAGTGCTGGAAATAAACAAACCTGCTTCTATTTGGCTGTTTTGCATTACTTTTTTTTTTTCAAATTTCACATTAGGATCCACATGTTCAATCTGATTTTATGGAGTACAGTTCTTCCATTCCTTCCCCCTACTTTTGACATCATAGCAGTGATTTAAAAGTTCCTTTCTAAACACTAATGAAAGTTATGAGCTGTCGGACCCATTTTTTCCATCTATTCTCAAAGAGATGGACAGGATGACTGCTTGGGGGGGGTGGAGAAGCACAAGCTGTGTAGTTCTCCCTTCGAATGTTCATTCAGCCTTAAGTTTCAGCAGCTGACCTTTGCCCAATGACCCTCAATCCCCCCCCAACACACACAGTGTTGCTTCTCTAATGAGGGAAGATCAGGCAATCACATACATCCCTGCGCGCTGCTTTCTCAAGGACAATTCCATCTGTGGTTGCAGTTAGCTATTTTTCCTTACAGGAGGAAGACTGTGTGGTGGGGGAGAAATGGCTCCTTTAAAAAGTGCAGTTACAGTGGATGAAACTTTTGCCAGGATTTGAAACCATACCTGTAGAAATCTTTACACTACTCCCTCAGACAGTGGGGTGCCCTTGGACTGCACATACATAGCCTCTACATCTATGAGTACTGAGCTTGGAGTGAGCAGGGCGGAAGGAGGTTGGAAGTTTGATCCCCCGCTGTGGATCTCTTGACAACGGCTAGGCTACACGCGGTGATCCACAGGTTCCCTTCCACCTCCGCACTTCTAAAGCTATTGTGATTATTATTATGGGTCCTTTTTAAGGAGAAAGGGATAAAAGTATTCTAAATGGATGACTCTGCTCCTTTGTAATATTCAAATGCTGCTATGTGCCAATCAAAATGCTATGTGTAACATCTATCCAGATAACGAATGCCCAGGGCTTATATATCGAAATCATGATCCAGTAGATGCGGCCTAGCTGGATTTTAAGGCCAGGGTCCAAAAACTTGCCCAATAGGCTTGTCTGTGTCCTTTGTAAGACTTTTGAACAGACCCCAACATTATAGGAGGGCCTGCTTCTAAGAGACATCTGTTTCAAGAGCCATTTGCCACGCCATCCTTGGTGGGCTGGTAAAGTCTGCCATTTCGGCAATCGGAGCGCTTGGTGTTGAAACTGAAATAAAAGCCACGAGGTACAAGCTCCTCCTCTCAGGAATTCATCACTGGCTACTCCAAATGAGCAAAGCCAGGGGCTGCTGCTTACAGCATGCTGTTTTCAATCTGAGGGACTGCTATTATTTCAACGTAACTGGGGAAAAGTTCCAACTAACTTGCAGCTCGACAACGCTCATTATCTTCCACCAAAATCTGAACAAGATATAACCTCTTATTAAAGGTATATCTTTAATAAAGCAAATAAGGTTGGTTTTACTTACAGGTGCTTTAAAATTAAAATACAAAATGTACAGTTCCAGTTTCAAAGCATTAGCTGTTCCTAGAAGTACTGCAAGAATGTTAACTAAGCACCAATCCACCTTGCACTTCGCTGCGTGAAATTCGACGTCTGGCAAAATTTGGCTTGCCAAAGTGCAAACAACTTGGGGGGGAAATCACCAGTGTTCAGTAGAAGTGGAAGCAAAGGGTGATGTAGCACCTACTCGCCAGAAACAGATTCACTGGCATTTCTGTTATTTCCTACAACTCAGAAACTGCTAAAGCCTGCAGTTATCACACCATTGTGACCCCAGTTTCGATGCTCT